TAGTTATTGTGTAGTTATTGAACACAGCGCAGGCCAAAGTGCAGCCGTACCACTTATCTGACCATCTCGGTTATCTGGAGGAGAAAAACGCTAAAAGCTTTCAGTCAGCATCCTCGGGCACGTCTGTAATGGACCTTATAGCACAGCCACTCAAAGTCTTCACTTACATAATTCAAGTCTACAGAGGGCTGTTTTAGTGTGTGACTCAGCAGAATAACCGAAATATACCAGATTTTCTTTTGACCAAAACAATCTGTTATTAAGCAGCGGTGAATAAGATCACACTGTGATTCAGTGAGTGAGATGTAATCAGAGAGATTCAGAGTGGTTTGGTTTTAAATGGTTCAGATGTCTTTACAGTGGTGGTGATGGTAACCAGGGGTCGCCATGACTACAACACAAATATAGACATTTTATTTACTATCCAGAACCACCAGTGAACCTACACGAGTCTTCTGAGTTTATATGGAATGTTGATGATGGAAAATAGTGGAAAATCTGAAATAATAAGTTTTCTTTGGGGACTATTTTGCCTCACAGCGCCCTGCATGTATCCCTCCACCATGAATGGAGTTTAAGTTCTCTAAACGATCATAAAACAGTGTCTCAGTCATCAGGCGGTGAATTCATAACCATTTCATGTAGGAACTTTCTGTGAGGGAGCTTTTAGAGGTGGACGTCTGGTTCCTATCACCACCACTGTGAACAGCTCTGACTCAGTAAGTTTATCTAGAACAGAGCGTTTCACACCAAACCACTCTGAACGGCTCTGATTAAAGTCGTTATGTTACCTTTAATGCAATAGTTTCACAAAATAAATAAAAAATGAAAGAAGGGAAACTTCCCTGTGTAAATCTGAGCGTAATAGTTTAACAACCTGAACAAAATGCTTGATCTGTGCTTAACTAACCAAAATTGTTAAGATCATCTATATCAATAATAAGAATTAAAAACAGACAATAACAATAATACTAATAATTTATGCAGTACAACACTGAATGACTTTATATGCTCTTCAGTGTAAACAAATGTACAGTGTTCCATTAAGACATTACACTGTGCTTTTGTTTTATTCTACTGACTCCGCCCACAAAATAAACAATATAGAACACGGCTAATTTCATACACTGTAATAATACTGTTTAAATATGATATTTTAGGAAAATAATCGCACTAAACAGTCACGTCATTCTACCGTCTTAGATGTTTTGTTTATTTCATATTTAGTTTTTTCCAGAAGTTGTAATTGTAACACTATAAAGTTTGGTCAGTAGGGGGAGCAGTTCACTCCAGCTCAGCCATTGGCTCACGAGCTGCTAAATGTTATCGTTTCACTGGAAACATCTGTATGAATTAGAGGGTGCTTCATGTAAATGATATGTAAATGAGGCGCTTGATTTCACGCACTGAAGCTGATCTCACTCGAATCTCACTCGTTTCTACATCGTACGAAAGTATCATGAATCAGACGGAGCAGTTTGTACGTTATTAGAAGTGATCAGATCTGCGCTCTGTTTACGCCACTTCGATAAATAAGGGCCGACATGTTTTTAATATCGGCGACCTCTCCTTAAAAAAGTAGTTCCCACAGTAGTTTGGCGTTTCAACTAATGTGCCCTCTTAAAATAAACATGGTTTGAGTTCTTTAGTTAAAAAATGGTTCTATACAGAACCGTGAACATGGACCCTCTGGGTTCTTTGCATCAGGAAATGGTTCATGAAATATCATGGCTGTGTTTCGGTCACAGGCACAACAGCCAAGTGTATGAGGAGGGAAAGATGCTGCAGAACGTATCATTTTCATATTTTTCACAGTCAGATTTAGATTTTCATTGTCAAAATTCAGCTCCTGTGATCAGACGGATTCCAGTCTTCAAACAGAGGAGTTACAGCAGCACATTCTGCCTCTAACTGGACACGTTTAGAGTTACTTTAACACACAGTGTGTTCAATCAGAAAACAATACGACACACAGTGCTAAAATGAGTGACACGAGTTAGTGAGTGATCCAACACGTCGCTTTTTAAGGTGTGTGTATAACATGACTGAACATTTTGGAACATACGTAAGATTTGTGCTCAGAGCTCAAAGATCACCCAAAACCAAAATGTAACGTTTCTGAAATGGACATTAATGTGCAAAACTAATCCAGATCCAGTGGACCTGTGTTCAGTCTGGAGCTCTTGCTGGCGGAGCGGCTGGAGAGTTTCTGGACTGTTTGCGTTTTGGACGTTTCTCAGCTCTGCCTTCAGTCCAGAAGCTCCGGTCAGCCAGAGTTCTGTGTGTTTAGAGGTTTAAAGCTGAACTAAAACAGTGAGTGCTATAAAAAGCAGCTCAGAGACGGAGATCAGATCAGAGCGAGGCTGCTGGACTTGGAGACGGCCGGTCACAGGCGGGCAGTGCTTTGTGATCTGTTGCTCTGAAAACATCTGAAGGTCCCATTTCTCCTGGAGCGAACTCTCACTGCAGGCCTGATGATGGTCGTGCGGAGACTCCGCCC